GCCTTTCCCAACACACACACTGCCTGCTGCATTCTTACTGCTTTTGCTTCAAGTACATAGTTTCTTTTTTATTACCACGTTTACACACAAACAAGATCTTATTTATTCAAATATACAGCTCAAAATGAATATTAATTATTTTATTATTGTTTCCCAAGTATTGTTTAGCAGACCAAAGATAAAATAACGATCGTTAAATTAAAGAAGTATACTGGAAAATAATGGACATTAAATGACAGATATTTAATGGAAAATAACGGACGGTAAATAACAGAAATATGTATTAAATAATAACTATCGTTAAATGACAGATATTTACCGGAAAATAACAGCCGTTAAATGACAGAAATTTGCCGTAAAATAATGGACGTTAAATGACAGAATTGTACTGGAAAATAACAACCGTTAAATGACAGATATTTACTGAAAAATAAAGGACGTTAAATAATAAAAGTTTACCATAAAATAACAGACGTTAAAATACAGAAATTTACCGAAAAATAGCAACCGTTAAATGACAAAAATTTACCAAAAAATAACAATCGTTAAATGATAGAATTTTACCGAAAAATAATGGATGTTAAATTACGGAAATTTACTGTAAACTAACAACCATTACATGACAGATATTTACCAGAAAATAACGGACGTTAAATGACAGAAATTACCGTAAAATGACTGACGTTAAATGACAGAAATTTACTGAAAAAATAACGGATTTTAAATGACAGAAATTTACCAAAAAAAAAAAAAAACTGACGTTAAATGACAGAAATTTACTGAAAAATAACGAATGTTAAATGACAGAAATTTACCGTGAAAAAACTGACGTTAAATGACAAAAATTTACCAGAAAAAAACGGATGTTAAATGACAGAAATTTACTGTAAAATATCGAATGTTAAATGACAGATATTTACCAGAAAATAACAGCCGTTAAATGACAGAAATTTACTGTAAAACAATAGACGTTAAATGACAGATATTTACTTTAAAATAATGGATATTAAATTACATAAATGTACTGGAAAATAACAGTATTTAAATTACATACATTTACCGGAAAATAACTAACGTTAAATTACAGATAATTACTAGAAAATAACGACCGTTAAATTACAAATATTTACCGAAATATCATGGATGTTAATTGACAGAAATTTACCGTAAAATAACTGACGTTAAATGGCAGAAATTTACCAGAAAAAAACAGACGTTAAATGACAGAAATTTACTGTAAAATAATGGAAGTTAAATGACAGATATTTACCAGAAAACAACAGCCATTAAATGACAGAAATTTACTTTAAAATAATGGATGTTAAATTGCATAATGGACGGGCTGCTCTGAGTATTTCAGAAACTGCTGATCTACTGGGATTTTCACGCACAGCCATCTCTAGGGTTTACAGAGAATGCTCCGACAAAGAGGAAATATCCAGTGAGCGGCAGTTCTGTGGGCGCAAATGCCTTGTTGATGAGGCCAGAGGTCAGAGGAGAATGGCCAGACTGGTTCCAGCTGATAGAAAGGCAACAGTAACTCAAATAAGCACTCGTTACAACCGAGCTCTGCAGAAGAGCATCTCTGAACACACAACACGGCCAACCTTGAGGCGGATGGGCTACAGCAGCAGAAGACCACACCGGGTGCCGCTCCTGTCAGCTAAGAACAGGAAACTGAGGCTACAATTCACACAGACTCACCAAAACTGGACAATAGAAGATTGGAGAAACGTTGCTGCTCTGATGAGTCTCCATTTCTGCTGACACATTCAGATGCTCGGGTCACAATTTGGCCTCAACAGCATGAAAGCATGGATCATCCTGCCTTGTATCAGCGGTTCAGGCTGGTGGTGGTGGTGTAATGGTGTGGGGGAGATTTTCTTTGGGTCCATTAGTACCAACTGAGCATCAACGCCACAGCCTACCTGAGTATTGCTGCTGACCATGTCCATCCCTTTATGAGCACAGTGTCTCCATCTTCTGATGGCAGCAGGATAACGCAGCATGTCATAAAGCTCAATCGTCTCAGACTGGTTTCTTGAACATGACGATGAGTTCACTGTACTCAAATGGCCTCCACAGTCACCAGAGCTCAATCCAATAGAGCAGCTTTGGGATGTGGTGGAACGGGAGATTGGCATCATGGATGTGCAGCCGACAAATCTGCAGCAACTGTGTGATGCTATCATGACAATATGGAGCAAAATCTCTGAAGAATATTTCCAGTAGCTTGTAAAATCTAAAGTATTAAGGCAGTTCTGAAGGCAAAATGCGTCCAACCTGGTACTAGTAAGGTGTACCCAATAAAGTGGCCGGTGTGACAGCCACTGTTGTACAATAACGTGCCTAATTAACCTAGTTAAGCCTTTAAATCATACTGTAAGCTGAATACTTGTATTTTAAACTATTTAAACCAGTTAAAACCTGTTTCTCTTTCTAAGTTAAAGTAATTTAATAACATACAGCACTTGTCAGGTAAATATGTACGTTTTTACAGTGTAATAGAGAGATAGATATCAGTTTAAACCTCTGGCTTACATACAATTATAGATCAGTGGTATGAACAGTAACAGATGACTCTCTCTCTACCAGGATAATGCCATTTCTCTCATTTTGCTCATCATTAGATCACTGGCTGTACTATGATATTCCCATTTCTTCAGCTGTAAATCCATCTGATCCTTCGTTAAATCTGCTGTAAGACACACACACACACACACACACACACACACACACACACAAACACACACACGTAATGGGTTTTCACACTGTACCAAAAGAAATGTCCCCATGAGGTCAAAATGTACTGGTATTGCTATACTTGTGGGGACATTTGGTAAGGAATACAAGACACACACACTCACACGCACACACAGGAGAGCAGACTTCACATCATACGAGGATCAATACGTCAAACATGATGATAATAATACAGTACAATCTTAAATCAGCTTTGGCGTGTATCTGTGCGTCTCGAGACATTGAGAGTCCCAGGATTAAAGGCTTAGTGAATCCTCATTGTGTCAGCATTAAGACATTGAGCATTGTGCGCTTAATCTCCCACAACATGCCGGATTGCCTTTGATGGACAGTTCAGGGAAACCTCACAGTTCACTAATCGTTTAGTTTTGCAGAGGAACATAGAAATATAAAAGTATATGTTATTCCTATCTAATGAATCGGTCCACACGGAAACTGCACACAGAAAGGTGAACAATTCCACAGATGTGTCTTGCCCATCATTGAGTGTGTTTGTTTACTTATGCAAATGTGTGTAAATTTATTCAGTTTCAGTATTATTATTTACTAATAATATGTATTATTATTATTTTGGTATTGATAGTATTATTATTATTATTGTTGTGATTATGGAAGTGATGCTAAGTATGCTAATGATTATTATTATTATTGGTATATTATTATTATTGGTATTATTATTATTATTATTATTATTATTATTATT